TTATTTTATGAATACTTTACCAGCAGTTAATATAAAAACCCATACACATATAGGACTCTATCCAAAAATAAAAACATAATTATTAACTTTAGAGCATGTAGGTRCATATTTTAAAGTATCTGAATTAAATACATATATTTATTAAATAGTAAACAAATTTAGTTTTAAAATCCGTGCAAATTCATTAAAAATATAAGCATATTTAACGTTCTATATTTGAAAAAAATCTGGTGAAGTTTGGGTATCATTCACTTACTATGTATGTGAACGTGTTTTCATGAACAGCGTTCCTTCCATTTTCCAAACACTAGTTTTAATATATGTTAATTTAACAATTTATTCCTTAATAACAACTATTTATTACTATTAATCATATAAACATCTAATAATGAAAACAATTTGGAAAATATTTAATTTATTCATCAATATTTTTTTTGTTTTAAACAAAATAAAACTTGTTTGAAGTTAAACTATTCAAGTTGACCAAAAGATAATTCATTGTTCAAAAATACTTATTATACATAGTTCATAATGGTTATTTTTAACAGTTTACCTAATTTATTAAAATAGTTGAAAAACTCATAATATTTCACCTATAAATAATATGATAACTTAAAATGTATTTATTCTTTCAGGTACTACCATATTGCGTTTATTAGTTTTTCCTTTAGTAGTTACGTCTCAACGTCATACTGCAAGAATGAATAACAATATGCCTCAGATTCAAGCATACCAAGAAAAAATGACAGAAGCTAGATTGCATGGAAATCCTTATGAAAGTAAATTGTTTACTTATTTTTGTTACTGATACTGGTGTATAAATGTCTTTCAATTTGATAATTAATATCCTTGTTMCCTATTTWAATTTAAACTGCAACTGGTTTACCCATTTTAATTGATTTAAAAAAATTGTGTGACTTAACATATTACTTCTCAAAACTTTATGGTTTTGAATAGAATATTGCATGAACAGTGAACTGTGCACTTGTCTTATCAATAGTAAATTTATAATTTAATGAACATACATTGTGAAAGAGACAATTTTTATACAGATGGTTTTATTTAGAATTTCAATATTCATTATATCCAACTTAGTATATCATTAAATTTAGAATGAAATGAAACTTGCATTTATAATTTAATTGTACCTAATAATACATTTTATTATTTTTAATTTACTTTTTTTACAGTAGTTACTGTTACTGTACTTAATATATATATATATAATAATCCACTTAATATAAGTTATTAATACCATAGAAAATATTGTTAAATGTTAATAATTAACATAATAGCATATTTGTATTTTTATCTAGCTTAAATTTTAATACATTTTATTTTGCCTTTTCTTCTAAAGTTTACGTTTAGGCATCTGGCATGCATACAGCAGTATTATATAATATGGACTTCCAGTCATGTTTTTCATGTGATAAAATGTATTTTAAGTATTATCCACTGAGATAGATAATAAACATGACAAAATATAGAGGTGTCAGCAACAATACGTGTTTGAATCTTGCATGCGCATTCCCACTTTTTCCCATGTATTAGGTTCTCCGATCTTAATGCTTTGGTATATGCAACCAATGAGAGGCGGAGAACGTAACACACAGTAAAAAGTGGSAAATATGCGCATAAGAATGTTGCTGACATACCTATTTATTTTGTCATGGATAATAATATATACTGGAGTGCAGACTCGGTCGTAAAAACGAGCCGTCGTGTTTGCCGTTACCCCAACCACTGAAGRGCAAAACATTTCATTTTAACATACAATGGACGTAAAGTTATGACTATTTCCATTCATAATTCTTAATTCTTTAACTAATTGAATGAAGTAATAATTAGTCATTACCTTATTGTATTATCATGATTATATATACCTAATATGATATAATCATATAAAAAGAGACGAAATTCAGCAATAAATTAAAATCATATAGAAAAACTTATGATACATTATAATTTAAAAAGAAAAAAATAACACTCATATTTTATATCAGTATATTTATTATTTATACATAAGTACAAAATAATTATTTAAGTATTTCCTTTCGTACCATTATTTAACATGATGTATGTCGGGGTCAGCTACCTAGTTAATATAATATMTAAATATACACAAATAGCCCAAATAGGTAATCCAAAAACTATTAAAAAATTTTAAATAAAATTATTTTTGATAGTTTCTTTGGGTTAGAAGGTATATTGTTCAATACTTCTCTCAAATTATATTCCCTTTACTAATGGTGCATTCTTATCTTTTCTGAACGTGGTACTTATTAGTTTAAACAATATATATTCGTGGCTAAGTGCCCCTAAATCCACATTTATTGGAAGCGAGTTAGAAAGAAAAATAAAAGACTACAGCTWTGTACTTTTTTAGCATATTCGACAATATTGCGTGCTCAATTTGTATGCAATTGACTTTCCTGGACCACAACACTTTAATAGCTTTTTCTAAATGCTGTAATATTAATAGAAAAGATTTTAAA